GGCTTCGAGCAGGACCCGTCAGAAACCATTATTAAAACAGGCTCGTCCGACAATTCAGAGCAAGCTGCTCGGGGTTCTTGTCTAGAGGTTCTCCCGACACATCGCACATGTCCACCTCGGCTGAAGTGGATGGTTCTGGCAGCTCGCCTTCGGGGTAAACATGGATCCCGCGGGTAAAAATCTCAAAGTGTGGCTCAGCACGCGCCGCTGCTAAAAACTGGCTCGGGACTTCAGACTCTAGTCGGGCCTGCTCAACATCAGGCCTGGAACAGGAGTAGAGCCTGTGGTGGGGTGTGTCTACCTGTCCGCGCTCGCGCCGCCCGTCCGTCTCGTACCCCGCCAGACGACCCCTCTCAGCAGTCCACACTCCATTGCACCCACAGCCCCTGATCAAAAACTTGGCGTTCGTGCTCAACCCTCGAGCCTGGGGCCCCAATCTAGACCGTATAAGATCCAGAGTAGCCCTGTGCCCAGGAGGGTGACCTAATTTAGCTGCGAGTGCTAGCTCGTGGGCTCGCTGAATTCCAATCTCTAGCTGGTCCGCCAGCAACGCTGGTGGTGTTTCATCTATATGGGTGGAAATCCCATTGTGATCTTTCCACTCCAGAGGGCCTACAGCCTCCCAACCAGCCCTCGAGGGCACCAACACCGCACGGTTCAACGGGCCTCGGGAGGAACTCCAGGGTCCTTGCTCAAGAGGTCTGGCCGACTTCCAAAGCCTGAGGAGCTCAGCACGGCTAGCTAGTGCTCTCTCGGGTTGGGTTGTGCCAAGCCAGATCATTCGGCACCGCTGCAGGGCCGGCGCCGCCGCTGAGCGAAAACTGGGATCCCCTACTAAAACCATTTTCGCAGACAGCGAGACGCCTCCGTGAGATGGAGAGATAGCGCTGCCGCGGAGCCGTTGGCGGGTCATCCATTCACTCTGGCTTAAGCCATGTATCTCCACACCGAAACTGCTAGCTGGTGAGACTCCCGAACGACAGATCGGTACGAAGGGGGAGCCCGTCTTGAAACCTTTAACTTTACGAACTCTACGCTTAGCACCTACAAACCTACGCTTCTGCTTAGGGCGGGCTCCTTTAGCAGATCTCTGGGCTCCCGAACTCTCATCAATTCCGAGAAATGCGACGCTAGTCTTATAGGTGCTGCGAGGAAATCCGAGTTCATCACAGATTGAATGGCCCAATTCCGCAGAATAAGCAATCAGAGAAACCTTGTCGAAGTTGAGCACCGCGTTCAACTCGTCCGACGCATGCTTGAACTCCCGCATGGACTCTACGGCCGTGCCCTTCGCGATGGCGATGTCCCTCGAGCTGCCCCCAATCGCACTATCGTCGATGTAGTTCAGGAAGTCAACTGTTGGACACCGTTCCCCGAAAGAGTCCAATTCAAACGCAGCGTGGATCTTTATAGCAATATCCGCATTGCCATCTCCAGCAGGAAGGCCGTGGGTCGCATACAGCGCTTCAACTGCAGGGCGGCGCCCACTCCTGATGATGCGTGGCCCGCACCATGTCTTCATCACTATCTTGAGCCAGCGCGTCGGAATGCCAACTCTCAAACACTTATACGAATGGACTCGCAGTACTTCGACCAATCTATCACCCACAACCAAGAGCGAATACCATCAGCACGATCTGCTTCGCTCCTCGCCGCTTGCAGCCAAGCGCAGTCTATAGCTGACCGTCCTTTTCCTGCCCCCCAAAACTTGCGCTCCAGAGAATCAGCGATGCCGCTTATCATCCATCGGCGTGCCCTCTGCCATATCCTATACATGCCCGCATACAAGATGATCAATATGTTGCCGCCAGACGCTCTGGGCAGCATCGGCATCTGACTCCAACGCAGCTGCTCGGGCAACATCCCGATCGCCTCTTCGTCCTCAAGCAGCAGCGCGTGGCGCGGGTGGAAAGCGGTCGAACGACGAGGCCGCGCCCTTCGGGAAAGTGCGAACAACCTTCCGAATATCATTAGCAGATAGACGTGGGCACGCACTTCTGTCAGGGACCCATGCCTTAGGTGCTGTATCAGATGCTGCCCATAGCTTGCGGTAATCTTCCACTTCCTTCCTCACAACTGCGACAGGATCGCCAGCAACAACAGAACCATGATTGACCACCGCCGGCGTGGGCATCGCCTTTACCTTGGTCACCTTGTGAAGAGCCCTCGCACTTTCAGCTGAAGCGTCAACGCACCATTCAGCTCACTGTCGGTCAGCACCTCGGCCGAGTGCTTGCTGAGCTTG